TGTATAGTCTGAAAATACGTTTACATAATTAAATGTTATTGAAGCTGAAGAATTTGTTGAACATGGTACAGTATTAAAACAGAATTTTATAGAATGAAAGTCATAGAGTATATACATATCATTGGACATATTTATGTAAATGAATATATGAAGGTTTCAAAAAGTTTGTGGAAATGCACATTATGAAAAAAAACTGCATGGGCTTTGAAAATTTTACCCCAAAATTTATGGTTTAAATTACATTTCCTTTTAACTTTCTGAATTAGCCTTGTGTATTTGAAAATTATATACATAGTTTCCAAGAATTCATGGATACAGATCTGCCATTGTGGTGCAGCAAATTAAGCAGATGCTGCAAAGCTGGCATCCCTTACAAATAACACTTCAGTTCCTAGCCACTCTGCTTCGAATCCTGCTCCCTGCTGGTATGCCTCGGCCTCAATACTCAGGCTCCTGCCATCCATGTGAGAGACCCAATGTACCCTTTGGCCTGGCATGCCCGCAACCACTGCAGCCATGTATGGAGTGAACCAGCAGATGGGAGATCTGTCTCTCTCTCTCAATTATTTGTATCATCGCTTAATCTCCTTACCTATGAATTTGATACTCCTGGTATATACTTACAGGTATGTAATATGCTTAAGATCGTACCTGGCATATAATAGGTACTGTAAAAATGTTGTGTTTGTTGTTACTATTGCTTATCTGTTCTTTAGAGGTCAGCCCTAACACTTCACTTGGGAGACTTTATTTGCATTCTAAAACATCCTTTTCTCCCACAGTGGAGGTCTGCCCCTTTTCTCTAACTCATTAGCTGCTACCTTCTCCCCATCAGTGCAGAGGGGAACTTGATCCTTATCACTCTCTGTCCTTTGGGGCATAAATTTCTCTCCAGAAATAATTTTCTCCTCCCTGTGAAATTTTGTACACCCTTCTCCCTTCATTGAATTTCATGTTTTGTATTTTTTGTTCCTACACATGTATACTTTTTGTTCCTACTTTTTCTTCCTGTTAACTATTTGTTAGTTCATTTCAGTGAACCTCCAGTGGGTGGTGGGCAAACATCCTCTCTCCATTACTTATTTTACCATTAAAATGAAATTTATGGGAAGGATTAGTTGCAAAATGCAGGGCAAAGTTTGTATGTACATAGAATTTCCATAGTAAGATTAGGAACTGTGAGATCTTTGGAATACGCTTACTGTGTGTATGTATATTTAATTTTAGTTCACAGTTTGAAAACCATATACATATTAATTGAGTGCTATTACAAAAAGTCTTTACAAATGATCAAGACATTAGTTAAGCTGTCCACATATGAAAATAGCAGTGTGAAAGGTATGTTATATCACCACCCTTGCACTGAAATGTATTTTGTTTTCAACCTTCCCACCCCTGACCATCTGCGTTTTCAGTAATATTGAATGTTTTTGGTGGGGTATAATGCATTTGGATCAAATTTTTGCTTATGACACCCCTCTCACATTTGTGTTCCCAGAGGTGGAGAGAGAGGCCTTTACACAGCAGCAGAAAAACACTGGAATAAAGTGACTGAGGTATCAAAGCATGAAATAACCTGTGCAGAAAAAGGACTCTGTCACCATTTATTTTCCATGTGCAAAAACTTCCTTTGAAGCAATCAGTCTTGGTGAAGTCCTATTAAACAGCAGGTTTTAAAAGCGATAACAGCAAGGTTGAGGTGGAAAAATTGATGAAGGCAGAGTTTATATTTATTCAGATGATCTACCAGTACTTTAAAACAATCTGTTTTTAACATGGCAAATTGTTTGTCATTAAAATGCTAATGAAATGGTAAACAGCTGCAAAGTTTTTATGCTAATGAGTGGTGGCAGCTAAGTAGTTCTCAAGCCTTGTTTTTATTAGCATAGAGATTTGATTGGGTAAAGGGATCATTGTGCATTTTGACCTTTCAGATGGAGCAATCTGTTTGTCAAGCTCCCTGTTGAATTTTGTTTGAGTTTATTAGTACAAAGTGACTGTACCCTGGCCCTTATAGGCCCTGAGTCACCCAATGTTTTAGAGCTGCTAGAGTGGACTTAGAGGAAGAATTTGGCTTCCCTTTGAGAAACCCACATGGCCAAACAATTATAAATTTACTCATCAGGCAGTTTTAGATGATTGTATTTATTTGCTCTTTGGGCTTTTAGTAATTTTAGTGCTGATGCATTATACAAAGCCAAAGCTCTAATATAAGAAATATCTCTCTTTTCAATATAATAAAAATTTTTGTTCCAAACTTTTTGTATATTTTAATGAATACACTGGCAACATTTGACACATTGACTTATCATCTTGGCTCTATAAGCATTCTCCTTAGCAATGCATATTACTAATTAAAAGACCAATGTGTGATTAAATAAGAGGGGTAGTTTATGAATGCCCAGAGGAGTTCAGAGTGTTTATTTAGGCATCAAGAAAAAAAAAAATTCACTGTTCAACCTGTGTCTATCTGATTCCCTTTTTTTTTTTTTTTTTTTTTGCTGAATCCTACTCTACATACTCTTATGGGTGGAGCTATTGCAGATCAATGCAGTTGCCCTTCATTTCTGTCTCTGTGTATGTTAATATATTAAGATCAATGCAAATGTAGTTGCGCTGTCCATTACACCCTGTTGCCAATAATGTTTTGGAATGAGTTGAAATATGTGTTTATTAAGGAAATCCATTTCAGAAAAAACATTTCTTTTAATAGAAATTTTCACTATTCTAGGACATCACAAAAGAGATTGGTGGAAATGCTAATAGTTGAAACAATTTATCCTACTATTCATTTCTCCCTGAAGTCAGTATGGAATTATAAACATGTAATTGTTATGTGAGCCTATTCAGGTATGACAGGAAATTGGAACCCTCATGCACTGATAATGATCATTTAAAATACTGCAGGCCTGTGGAAAATAATTGGCCAGCTCCTCAAAAAGTTAAACTCAATCATTTTCAAAATTCTACTCCTAGGTAAACATCTCAGAAAACAGAAAACATGTCCATACACACTCTTGCAAATACACTCTCAGAGTAGTAATATTCAGAACAACCAAAAAAGAAAAGTGAAATCGAATCAGGGCCAATACTATTAGCTAATGAATAAATATGCAAACTAGAATATTATTCAGCCTTAAAAAGGATGAAGTTCTGATACATGTTGCAAACTGGGGATGTCTTGAAACCACTGTCAAATAACAGAAATGAGTCAAGAAGTACCATGTGCTGTGTGATTTCATTTAAACGGAATATCCAGGATAGACAAATCTGTAGATTCTGTGGTTACTGGGAGCTAGGGTTATCAAGAGGAGTTACAAAGTGGGCACTAATCAGTATAGGGTTTTCTTTTAAGATACCACGAAAATCTTCATAAATTGTGATGGTTGTAAAAATCAGTGAATGTCCCCAAAATGTATGGCACTTTATGAGGGTAGATTGTCTGTTATGTGACTTATGAAAAGATGTTGTTTTGTTGTTTTTGTTACTGAAAAAAATGAAATAAAAGCATGCCAAGGCCTGCCTGTGTCTCAGTAAGCCACCTGTTCCTATACCTGTACTATAGGAGGGCAGTAGACCAAAGCAGAATGCTGGCTACAGAAGAGCGTTTCAGATCTCCTTCTTATGTGTTAAACCAGTGAGCTAAAGAGTGGTAGCTAAAGTAATTGTTAAAAGGAGTACTCACTCAAATAACACAAACTCAATAAAATAGGAGTAGAAGACAAATTTTGAGTGTCAGAAATACTACTCTTTACCCACAAACTAACTAACATTTGGATTACTTACTTTCCTTGAAGTAAGGGCAACTTTTAGCTTTCTGCTTTTTATATTTTTATGTTCGAAAGCTAGAGACAGAGAGAGAAACAGCATGCAGGCATATTCCTATTTACTGGTTTGCTTTCCAAATGCACAATGTCTGCAAGGGTAAGCCTGCACCAGGGCTGAAGTTGGGAGCCAGGAACACAAGTCAGCTCTCCCACACAGGTGTAACAACCCAGTTACTTAAGTTATCAGCCATTCTTGTTACCAAAAAAGCCCAGTGGGTTCTTTCCTCAGCAGTGTTACTATAGAAGTAAAAATCCGGGAATCTGTTGCAGATGGAAAGGTTTGTTTGTGAAGGGATCAGGTGAGCAGGGAAGGGAGAGGAAAGGAGAAAGCACCTTCCAAGAGGAAGCTGGGAAATGGATTGCCTTTCAAACGAAGGAGTGACACCAAAGGCTTGAGGGAGGGTCTTGGGATTTTAAGCTTTCCCTGACCCCTCCTTGTTGGGCAGAAATCTACAAGTAAGGTGTTCCCCATTGGTGGTCTTTTAATTGGTTAGAAAATGGTTGGGAAATGCTTGTGCTGCCCACCTGAAGGTGTGACCAAGACCTCAGCAGATCTGGATGGTCTCTTTCTGATGTGGTACAAGCATATTAAAGGGCATCTTACCCACTAGCCAAAAGTTTGCACCTCTTGTTTCTTTTATCATTCTCTTCTCTTTTCCTCTGTTTTTTCTTTTTGAGAACAAGCTGAGTTCTAACTTTCTTGAAAACAGACAGTAAGTAGTTTTTTTTTCTTTCGTGAAAATCCTATAATAGAGTCTTATTTGCATAAAACATACCTACTAGCCATTCAGAAACTCTGAATAGTAAAGGGCATTTAGCTTCGAACCTGCTCCTCCCCTCTTCTCTCTGGTGTCCTTGGCTAGTCCAAGGTAACCTTTGGACCATAGGGCCTTCTCCAGCTCCACCTGCCAGGAGGATCTGTGTGCAGTGAGTCTTGACTGAGTTTGAGCAGCACAGGGCTCTGGCCAACAAGAAATGTTCTGCATCGCCGTCCTGAACAATGAGGAAGAAGAGCCATTTAAATGGCCTGACTAATCCCGTGCCTGTTACTTACCTCCAGCGTAACTCTTGCTTACAGATTGCAGCTCAGTTGTCTTGTGTTGGCACTTTGGTCGGATGATGGATGTGAGTTGACAGTTTGAAATCATTTTTTTTTTTTTTTGTTCTTGGCAGGCAGTACATGCCACACTACTACCCTTCCTGCTCTTGTGCGCACACCTACCCTGATGATGCAGCCTTCACTGGATATCAAACCCTTCATGCCTTTTCCAGTGGACAGTAGTTCTGCTGTTGGTCTCTTTCCAAATTTTAACACAGTGAGTAAATGCATTTTTTATTTCCTTTGTGCCCTTGTTCATCTCTTTTCTTTCATTATATTTTCAAATAGACAATAGATGTATTTCTTTTCAAAGTGTGTAATTTTGAATCATGTATTTGTTATGCAGCTCAGCTGTATTATGGGATATGTTTTACCCATGGAAGTTAGAACAAACAATAACCAGCATGTGAATTCCACAAATGAATTTTCACCTGTTGCATTATATAGTTTTGATAGATTTGTGGTGGTCTTAGAACCTGTATTATTTGTAGAATGTTGTTCACATGTTCAGGAACATAAAAGAAAAAATAACGTATGCAAGCTTTCTCTCATTCAGTGTAGTTTTATTTAGGAAATATCTTAGATAACTTGTGACTCACACAAACAGAAGTTTCTTTGAAGGACGTTGTAGATTATATACATTCTATTAACAAAAAAAAAGGAAGGAAGGAGGGAAGGAACAAGCGAACGAATGAACGAAGGAAGGAAGGAAGGAAAGAAAAACCTTACTTAACGTCTGTTAGTTGTTTGCATGATCGTCTGACTTTCCCTTTAAAACATGTCAATAAGCATTAGCTAATCACTTATAATTATCAGTGTTCCTCATTCATGTCAGATGACCTTCTTTTATTTGAGTAAAAGGCATTTTTAGGTATGAACAGTAGAGCCTGACAGCTTTCAATAACAGGATTCAGCATAAAATCTGTAGCCAGATTTTAAACTTTTAGGGAGAGAAAAAGCTGAAAACAATTCAAATGATTGCAAAATGATGTCTGTTCAGTGATAAATACAGTTGGTTGGGTCATGATGGTCTTCAGGAATGATACAATCATCTAAATCATGGTGTAATTGTAATAATAATAATAATAAAGAATTACATTAGCAACACCGGCAGACAGCCAGCATCTGAAGTACTGTCAACTGTTTCCTTTTGCAAGCTTATCTTCTGTATGAAGTGAAAACAGCAAGAGGATATTTTCCTCAAGGGTTGCAAATAAAATTTGCTGACAGGCCTTCTGTCAGGGCCTAGAGTTGTAAGGTAATTAGGGAGGAGCAGATCAGCCAACTTTTTAAAAAACTTTGGCCTTGACTTTGTGAGTAAACAGTTGAAGGTTTTTGTGTTTAAGGTTTTCAGAGACAAGTCAAGTAGTTGAAAAAAAGGTTGTAAAACTGGGCATTGTTTCTGGCTCAGTGGAGCAGCACGGTAAGATAAATCATGCCTGCTGTGGTCACATAAATCTATTGGGAGTGATACTCTCATAGTACCACTTGGTGCCATTTCAGAGAGCAGGGACTCAAGCATGCCTGTCGTATCCTGCATTAAAACGCGTGGTAAATTCCAAGCACAATTCAATCACACTGTACTACTTTGAATATACAATTGGTGCTTTTTTTTTTTTTTTGATGTGGACATGGGAAACGGCTTCTGTGCTCACTACATGAAGCTCCTGCTGCTAGAAAGCAGCAGAGATGATGAGGTAAGCATCAATAGCACCTGCCATGGCTTCTCTTTCTCCTGCCCTCTCTCCTCCCTTTCTCTTTATTTTTTCTCATTCAGTGAAAGTACTTACCTCAACGACGTAAAGAGAACATTAGCATCCAGGGAAGACTGAGAACATTATTGTCTCCTATCTCCCTGCATATTCTTCCTCTTTTTGCCCAAGAGAAATACTGTCAGCAGGTGACATCCTTCTGTCCATCCTGCTTCTGAAAGTCTCATGTGTGCAACTTACCTAATGGGTCACCAGTCACAGTAGATTTTTCACAAATGCATTTATATGTTTATGACTGTTCTGTAAGTTACTATTTTTTCTAGTTGTCAAGATATAGTAATATACCTCTTTGTTTTTAAAGTTCGTTAAACAGAAAAATCAAGGGGTTATTTTCATCAAAGTTTTATATAATATAAAAATATACTTTCACAATGGCCTGTTATAGTTATGCTCTCATGCTATTTGTTTTTTTATTCTATACATAGCAATTCATCTTCTGATACACTGCAGTTAAGAAAACCCAAAGAAAAATTCCATTAATAGTTCATTTTCTTTCTTAGAAGAAATGTTTAGTATTCACATAAAAATATTGCAAGGAACTTGAAGTGAGAATGCTAGATGAATTGATAAGTTTATTCCTTTTATATTGTATCCAAGGCTTTTGTTAAACAGAAAGCCTTCCAGGTAGTGTACTAAAATTAAGTCATTCAAAGTGGGTCCCTGTGTAATCTTGTAAAGAAATAAATTTATTGATTAGATTTTCTATTTTTTTTATACTTTGAGATGCAATTTGAATTAATCCTTTTTCCATCGGCTTTTCCATTCCAATATGTATGTGACTATAAATTTCCTAGGATAATGTCAAGTAAGTCATAAAATTGTCCACATATGGCTAGGAAGACGTTGTTAAGTCATTGCACTGGATTAGTGTATATTTGTAACGATTTACATTCTTCGGAGGACTCTGACCTCAGAACTTTTTAGTATGGTTATCATTCCCATTGTCTAGAAGAAATAGAGTTAAAGGAAGAACTAAGACCTGAATTAGAACTTCCAACTTCTCGCTTCTTACACTCTTGTCTCTTTTGCCCTATACCACCTCCCACCTCATTCATTATGAACAAAACTCAATCAGAAATCTTTTGTGTTCTTTTCTGGAAGCACAGTAGACAATTTTCTGAAAAAAACGCATTCAGTAGAAAAAGCAGATAGTTTTTAAAATGTGTACTGTCGACCTCCACAAACAATAGTTTTGAAGCAGAATATGTTTGAAAAACAGCTGTAATTTCTTATTGACAAAATTTGAAAGAATATTGTACTCAGTGGTCCACTTTGTTCTTTGAAAGTCACAGTAAATTCTATCACATTATTTTTAACCAAGATTAATATGAGCCAATCACTGTATTTTAATCTTCTAATCTTAACTCTTACTCATAAAGGAATAAAAACACTGTACTCTGAAACTGTGTCTGAAGGTTTTTAAAGTTTGACATGTTCTGTTTTAAATATATATGAAGTAATAGCTTCTTCCTTTTTAAAATAGTGGCATATGATAGTGTTACATGAGAAACATGGCAAGAATGAAATGAGATTTTGTCATAGTCCAAGATAGAACGGGTGCCTCTGCATTTTACGTGAAGAACAGCATTTCACAGCATTAGCTTACTGTTTCTGTGGCCTTATACTCCATAATCAACAAAATTTCTCAGTGCTTACGTATGAAAAATGAGGTAAAAAATGCCAGGTGCTATCTATGAAGAATTACAAACAGATATTAAGAATATGAACTTTTGGCCATTGATAATTTATGATAGGTTACATGTCAAAGATGTGTGATTGGAGAACAGGGAAGTTAACTATGCTTTGCATGACACATCACGGTTTTGAATCATTTATATGTAAAAAACTATGTGAACTCAAACAAGATGATTTTTAAAATAATTTTGACTTTTATCTATAAAATCTAATAGGCTTCTCTGCCTGGGTAGCTACTAATGATCACTACTGCCACTGCCACACACTTTCAAGTGTTTGTCCTTCAGGATTCAGGTTAGATGTCATCTCTTTCCTGGGAAGGCTTCTATGACTCAAGTCTTGGTTAAGTCGACTCTCTAATAAAATACTACCAGCCTATCTCAGTTATAGTTGATGTCACACCACAGTCTAATTATTTGATTATTCACCTTCTTCACTAGAATATCAGGGTTTTTACGGAACAGACTATATCTTACTTATCTTACTATGTCTGGCATCTGGCGTAGGTACTCAGAAACTTTTTCTTTCTTTTTTATTATTTTATTTTATGACACAGTTCCATAGGCTCTGGGATTTCCCTTAAACCCTCTCCAAGCCCTCCTCCCCCCACATATTGATTTCCTCTATATTATTACAGTAGTATTGTTCATAAACTCATAATGTCATCATGGATCATTCAGAGTCCAGCATCTTATTGTCAAGATAAATTTAACAGAGAAATAGAGAAACTTTTTTTTCTTAAGTAAGAAATGGAAGAAGGGAGAAATGGAAAGAAGAAAAAACCCTGGTCTTTGCATTTCAGTGTTTGCACTCCCTTCATAGCACAAGGAATACCAACATTTCTGAACCTCTTCTATATTCCAGATGACAAATCAGTGTAAATCCTAGAGCTAATAGCTAGACATAAGCTTATGTTATCTCTAAGTTTTGGATTTTTCTGCGTGAACCCAGCATAAACATTTTGGCACGTGTTCTTGTCTAAACCATGCTTTTGATAATATTCATTTGGAAAACAAAGTTATTAGGTCTGGATTTTTATTGAAACATAATGTATGCACTAAAGAGTAATATTTTTTGGAGGAAGATAAAATGAAACAAAATATTTTTGTGCCCAAGAAACTTGTGAAAAGTAGAATAAGTATACATGGAAAAGACAAGATAATGAAAAGCAAGAAATATTGACCAAGTTGGAAATAGTTATTGAGCTTAATAAGAAATACCAGGAAGAATAAATTTTTTGTTTATTGTAGGGCCACTTTTACTAATTTTTGTTTTACTTAAAAATTACCAAATGCTCCATAGTCATACTTTAATTGTTACATGTAATATTTAGGGAGCTGCCAAAAATGTATACAGTTTTTTCTCCAATAGAAGTTGGAATTCCTGTCTCCTTTACTGTAGGCCCAGTTTTCATCTACATTTGCCAGCATCCCAGATAATACTGATATTTAGTTTCCCTTAAGAAGAGGTTTCTTCAAAATTAATTTTTTACATACTAAGGCAGACAATATTAACTTAGAAAATAAGTCAGTTTAGAAGACACATTTGTACAGAGAAGATAATAATTCAGAAAGTTTGTAGGACATGTAGAATAAAAGAAAGGATTGTTTTCATGTAAATTATTTTGAAATCCATGCATAGCTTCTTTCATAATAAACAATTCCTCCGAATATTTTGAAGGTCTGTATTTTTAAAAATTGTACCTGAGTAAATTTATCTCTTAATTCCATATCTATGTGTTTTTTGTTCT